TTCTTACTCCGTTTGGTGTTCGGCTGAGTTCTTTATCTCTTCATTTGATGTTCTAGGGTTTCAGGATTGTTGATTCTCTGTTTGGCTTAGTTTTTTGGATCTTTGTTGTGGAGGGACGGCGTGGTGCTTCTGCCTAGACCGCCATCTTGCCGGAGTCCCCCAAAACTAAAACTTTTGAGGTTATCTTTTCTACTGAATGAAATAATTTGCATCTCAACTAGACAAAAATCATTTGCAACTTATCAATCTTCTAGAAGTTAAGATCTAAATTTAGGCTCAAATCAATAGTAAGCTAAGTCAAACAAAGGTACATTCCCTTAAACCAGGGATTGGTGAGTTTACTCTTAAAGGGCCAGATTATAAATATTTTAGGCTTTGCGAACCATTGGATTCTTTTGCAGCCACTCAACTCTGCCATTGTAGTGCAGAAGCAGCCATAGACAATATGCAGATAAATGGGTATTACAGTAAAACTTCATTCACAAAAACAAGCAGAAGCTGGAGTTGGCCCCAGTGCCATAGTTTGCTAGCCCTGGTTTACTGAATCTGTAGTAATATCCTCTCTTTCATTCCTGATATTGGTAATTTGTGACTATTCTCTTTTTCTTTGATCAGTCTGACTAGAGCTTTATCCATTTTATTGATCTTTTTGAAGCTAGATTTTCATTTCACTGATTTTCTCTATTGCTTTTGTTTCTTTTCTATTTCATTGATTACTCTTTATTTCCTTTCTCTACCTGAGTTTAGTTCATTCTTTTTCTAGATTTTATGTTGGAAGCATAGACCATTTATTTTAGACTTTTTGTATTTTCTGAAATAAGTATCAAAAGCTATAAATGTCCCTTTAAACACTACTTTAACTGCATCCCACAAATTTTGATATGTTAACATTTTCATTTTCATTTTCATTTAGTTAAAAATATTTTCTAATTTCCCTCATGGAGTTTCAACTTGCACATGCATAAATTAGTATTCACCCAAAGACTGAAGGGGATCACCATCCAGTTTTCTGGAGCTCTTTCTCTGTGTAGCTTCTCCTTTACAGTACTTTGTTCCAAAATTCTAGCTATCACAGCCTGCTTGAACTCTCTCTTCTCAATTCAGCAATTCGAAAGACTGCCCTGTGCCATAGTGGGAAGTGATCATAGGGCTCACTTTGTATCTTTCCTCTCAAGGATCACAGTCCCGCACTGCCCATTGTCTAATGTCTGAAAACAGTTGTTCATATATTTTGTCTAGTTTTTTAATTGCTTATGGTGGGAGAGCAAGTCTCAGAGTAGTCCCTTCTTCAGAGGCAAAAGTGGAAGTCACAGTACATTTTTGAAAAATAAAACAGTGATTTCAGAAACGTGTAAATATTTTCATCTGTGTGGACCTCTTCACTATGTAAATATAAGAGAATTGTTCTGAGAAAAATGAGGCAAATTGATATAAAGGTAACTGACGGTAGTCACCAGTGTAACAATTTACTGATTTCAGTGAAGTGTGTACACTTGGATAGCTGAGTATACAAGATTCATACCATTGGTAACTGTGTGGGAAGGTAGATGAGGAACTGAAGGGGTATTTCTGTAGCTCTTGGTAGCTTCATTTTTCTCATAGTTGCCATTTCTTCATCTTTTTGTGAAGAAATTGTTTTCTCTGGCCTTCTACGTTGCCTTGTCTGGTATTAGTCTTTTTTTTTTTTTTAAAAGAACAGTGGCAGGCTGGCTTTCATAGTGCTAGACTCAATAGTCCAGAAGCCTTGCCTTTATTTTCCTCATACCTCCCACTTGAGTGTTGTCCACATTTAGTCTGTTGGACATTTAATAAGCATTTCCTAGGAGTCAGGTTGTCTTTGGCTGATTATCAGATCGTTACTTTAGTTAGTCATAGGCCTTTTTCAGTTATGTGTACATGTAGACATAATTATCCATTTCTTCAGTGCTTTGATTTTATTGCATATTTTCTGTATGTAATTTTATTACATATTTTATGTTATAACCCCAAAGCCAGGGCTAGGGTCAGTTTAAAGAGGTGCTTAGGGCACAAAATTTAAGGAGACACTCACTCTCGGGATCATATAAGCCAGCTCTGCGCTTGTGCCTTAAATTTTGCTTCTGAGGTGCCTTTCTTGCCTCACCCTGGTTCTAGCCCGGTATAACCTTGATCACAGTTTGTTACAGACACCTATTATGCCTTAAAATAAACTCTGTATAACAACTTTCATTTAGAACATGGTTTGACTTTACTTCATCTGAATGCACAAAGGTGAGGTGATATTTCAAGAAAATCAATGCCATGCCTGAGGTAATTCAACACCCGAAGTTTATCCATAAGCAACATTAGCCAGAATTTTGGAACATGTTATCTAGGTTAGCAGCAGTAGGCCTGTTGTACTTCTCTTCCTTTATTCCATATCATGATATGGCTTGTCATTAGAAAGTTCCTCCTACCAGAATACCTCTCACAATTAACAATTTTTGTAAACCTGACTACTGCTCTGGCAAAACCACATGACTTTGGCCAAGATCCGGTTAGAAAATGAATGTACCTGTAACTTGCACGAGGTCAAGAATACTCAGTTTATGTTGCTGCCAGCTCAGTGGGAGAAATCAATATTCCAGCTTGTTCAGTTACCTGTTCACCGGTCCCTAGTCCTCACACAGTCCCTGAGAAATGCTTTAGAGGTGAGTGGGAGGTCAAAAGTGGTGAACCTCTGCTTCTCCCCACTCTCCCATACACTTCAGTCAGAATAGGTCCTCTTTTATCTGTTTCATGAATTGGGTTCTGTGTAAAGGTCTGTGGCGGGGCGGTGAGTGGGAATCACCGAGAAGAGGAGCCAGAAACAAACGTGGAGCAGTACTCACACAAGCTAAAATATCCTGAGCCAAAAGATGCTCTTTTTTGCTTCTTCTGTTCCACTCACTTGACAGTTTTCCCACCCTCTTAAAAAAAGCAATCTTCAAAATAGCCTCAGCTGTTAGTGTTCAGGGCTCCTTACGGAGCAGTAGTCTCTGTTTTTATTTCATCTTAAAATGTTTTCATTCTTTGTTTTTAGATGCCAGTGAGAGCAGGTGCCAGCAGGGGAAGACACAATTTGGAGTTGGCCTGAGATCTGGGGGAGAAAATCACCTCCGGCTTCTTGAAGGAACCCCCTCTCTTCAGTCATGTTGGGCTGCCTGCTGTCAGGACTCTGCTTGCTATGCCTTTTGGTGGCTAGAAGGGATGTGCATTCAGGCAGACTGCAGCAGGCCCCAGAGCTGCCGGGCTTTTAGGACAGACTCTTCCAATTCCGTGCTGGTGTTTTTAAAAAAATTCCAAACTGCAAATGATTTGGGATTTCCACCTGAAGATGATGTACCACATCTTCTGGGGCTAGGCTGGAGCAGGGCATCTTGGAGAAGGCAGAGCCCAACCAGAGCGCCAGTCATTCCTGCTGTATCTTCCAGTGACCAGCAGAGCTTAATCAGGAAGCTTCAGAAGAGAGAGAGTCCCAGTGAAGAAGTATTTGCACCTGTAGTCACACAGCGTTTTATAAAGAATGACTCCAAGGAACTAGGTGGTCTGAATACCAGTGACTCTGCAGAGGTAAGCATATTATGAAAAGGAGCAGAGGAGCTGTGAAATCTGCTCCAACATTTGGCACACAGAACAATGAAGGTGATGTTTATGGGCAGAGCTCGTAGGCTGAGGAGTGTATTCATAAAGCAGCTTGGTGTCATGGTAGTTGGTGCTGCCTAGAGGTACAAGGGTAATTTGACCTTAGAGGTGTTCACTCTATGCAAGTCTGTCCATTGTTTTGGTAAAAGCAGAAAGCTACTCATTATCTAGTCTAAGCTGGTTCTTGGCTACAGGTAAGTACAGTTGTGTGGGTGTTAGTCTCCACCAAAGGTTCTGCAGTGTTTTCTGCCAGATTGCAAAACACTTGATTGATATGGTTGCAGGCAAATTCTCCTCCTCCTCGCCTATCTCCCGCCTGTAAACACATTCCTTATGAGGTAGTTCTATTCCAGTCTGAATTAACCGTGCCTGGTACTGCAGATTAAGACGTGACCTGCTGGGCTTGGGAGCTGGATATGGCCCTTAGTCAAGAGGTTTTTGGGTGAATTCTCACCAAGTTGTATATGCACAGGAAGCTACTACCATTAGAGTTTATCCTGCTTCTTCTTTGTTGATCTTCCTGGGCAGATGATTAAAGGATGGCTCAGTCTGTGCTCAGTCTCTCTTGATTGCTTATTTTTGTGTTTATTTTATTCTAGTTGTCGCTATCGAGTTGAAGCCAGAGCGGGGAGGCTACTACATGCCAGGCACTATGTGTGCTAATCATTGTACTACGTCATTTTGTTTAATTTTCATAATAATATTTCTAAGTAGATATTATTATCCCTGTTTTACTAATGAGGAAACTGAGGCTCAAAGAGGTTACACAATTAGCTTGTGATCTTGCAGCAAATGAATAGCACAACTAGAATTGGAACCTAAATTTAATATTAAGTGCAATATCAGTGTAATATTAGAGTTACTGAATAGGGTTTTTTTTTTTTTTTTGAACATTTTATTGTGGTTTAGGTGATAGTTTACAAAGCAAATTAATTTCCCATGCAAAAAGTTATATATATGGAAATCTATTATCAATGTCAGAACCCTGGTGGTGCAGTGGCTAAGAGCTCAGGCTGCTAACCAAAAGGTCAGCAGTTCGAATCCACCAGCCACTCCTTGGAAACCCTATGGGGCAGTTCTACCCTGTCCTATAAGGTCGCTATGAGTTGGAATCGTCTCGACGGCAACAGGTTTGGTTTTGGATTATCAGTGCCGGAGCCCTGGTGGCACAGTGGTTAAGAGCTCAGCTGCTAACCAAAAGATCTGCAGTTCGAATCTACCAGCCGCTCCTTGTAAAACCTATGGGGCAGTTCTGCTCTGTCCTGTAGGGTCACTATGAGTCAGAATCGACTTGACAGGTTTGTTTGTTTTTTTTTTTTTTTATTATCAGTGTCAGGACTTTAAGGACTAGAGATACAAAGATAAACATGACATGGTCCATGCCCTCAGGGAGTTTATAGTCTAGTGGGTACTCAGACATAAAGATAGGTATTTATAATAGTATATAATTATTGCATTAATAGATTTGTGTACCCAATACAGTAGAACGCAAAAGAGAAAGTGATACACTTGAGCATGCAGGTAGTGTGTATGTGTAGGGAACTCTTATTTTTTGAAGGATGAGTAGGATTTTAATACGTGATTGTGTCAGCAAGTATTTATTGAGCTTCTACTGTGTACAAATTATTATGACTATTATAGTAAATAAAACAAACCGATTCTTGCCCTAATGGAGCTTACACTCTGGGACAGAAAGCAGACATTAAATTTTTAAATAATTATAAGTGTGATGCAGGTTATGAGAGGGTGAGTGCAGGGGGCTTTGAGAACTATGACAAGTAAGAAGGAGTATAAGAAATAGGAGAAGGAAAGTTTAAGTTGAGACTTGAAGTACAAGTAGAAGTTAGGAGAAGAAACAGGAAAAGAGTATTTCAGGCAGAAAGAATAACAGTTTCAAAGTTTGGTAGGTACCCTAGAGTATGGCAAAATCAAGAAATTGAGAGCCTGGTCTTGCTGGGCAAACAGAGCAAGAGAGCTAGTGGTGAAAGAAGAGGATTGAGAGGTATGAAGAGCCTTGAGGTCTTAAGATACTAGTCTTTATCTTAAGATCAGTGGGAAGTCATTGAAGAGTTTTAAGCAGGGAATCACATCATCAGATATATTGCTTTGTGGTGAATAGACAGGAGAAGTCAAGATTGTATATGGAGAGACCAAGTATGAGGCTATTGCAGTGGATCAGGAAAGAGAACCACGAAGCTAGAGAAGGAGCTTATAGATACAGAAAAGGAGATAAACAATAATCCCTCAGAATGTGGTTCTCAGAATTCAGCATGCATCAGAATCACCTGGAGATCTTGTTAAAAACAGTTTGGTGGGCCCCAACTCCAAAGTTTCTGGTTTATAGGTCTGGAGTGGGACCTGAGAATTTGTATTTTTAACAAGCCCCTGGATAATACTAATGCTGCTGGTTGGGGACCACACTTTGAGAACCTCTGCTTTATAGGGTTAGAGTCATAGCAGAGAGCACAAAATTATCCTTAGGCAGGAGGAGAGACATGTCTTTCATTGTGAAAGGAAGGAAAGATGGGTAGATACAGATGCAGCCAAAGTGGGCTTATAGATTCAGTAGAAGGAAATTGTGGTAGTTCTAATCTTGTTACTGTTTTCTGTAGAGTAGGAGGATAGATCATCTACTGAGAGTAGAAGCAGAGGTAGGTGGGGTGGGGAGGTTTGGGGAGAGTGGTAAAGGTCTGAAATAGCCATTGTAAAGGATAGGAAATGGCAAGTGAGGTAAGGAAATAGAAGGATTGCTGGGTAACATTGAAGATGGAGACCATGAATTTACAACAGTGGCATTGATCTTTAGAGCTATGTGATTCTCCTCTGTAACTCTCAGCAGCCCTGTCAAGAAAATGCTGATAGTTCGAGTTATACAGGATTGGAACTTTGCCAGGTGGTTTGTATAGAAGGAAAGTGGGACAAAGAAATCGAGGGTGTTGGCAAGAGAGTGGTTGAAAGAATATAAGAGGATAGAGAAAAGAGGTAAAGATAAGAGGGGGCTGACAGAGATAAGGTACAGAAGTTCAGCATTTAGAGGTTTCTATGATGGAAGCAGAGGTAGGGGGCATAGGTAAATGTGGGTCCTGAAAAGGACAGGAGGTAGTGGTCAGAGTATAGGATATTTGAATTAAAGATTTTGGAGTAAGAGCAGTTCTACTGATGACAGAATTTTAGGGTACAGCTGTGGAAGAAGATTGCTGAGGTAGAGTAGAGAAGTTATTTATTTATTGGCAATGAGCAGCTCAGATAACTTAGTGAGCTCAAAGAACATGTTAAAAATGTTATATATATAGGCAGTGAGATAGTCTTTAATGATGATGAGGAGGGTGATGATCATAGCAGCAATATGTTTACTGAGCACTTACTTACGTGCCAGGTACCATTCTGAACCCTTTATATGTAACTCTCTTAATCCTTACAACAAATCCTATGAAGTACTATTACTATCCCTGTTTTGTAAATTAAAGAACTCAGGAACAGAAGGTTTAAGGAACATAGCCAATGTAAGATAGCTAGTATTTGGTGGAGCCAAGATTTGAATCCATGTTCTTTGTTTCTATCTAGAGTCTGTTCTCTTAACCCTCCTACTCTTCAGGCTGGACTTGGGTTGAAGAGAGATTTTGAGAGCCAAATGTCAAAGCCATCGGTAGAGTAAGAAGAGTGATTACTAAGTTGAGAGATGACCTCTGTAATGAGAGTTAAAGTGTAGTACAGCAAGATGGCAAAGGAGAAGAGGTTTTTATAAGAAGATGGAAGAGTAATGGTTTGGAAAGAGCACTGGGGAGGGGGAGTGAAGAAAACAGCAACCCATCCTCAAGCCTAAAGTGTGGCTAGGTGGTCTGGGCCAGCTTCATGGGCCTGTGACCTGCACAGTTGCACAGAGTGTTGCACTTAGAAAGGTCCTGCTCTTGGTTAATGCTCTGCTGTGACTGCCTTGATATTCTTAATTTTTGAATAAGGAGCCCTACATTTTCATTTTGCATTGGACCCTGAAAATTACATAACCTGTCTTTCAGGGGTATAGGGAACAATATGTGAAATGACAGGATATAGGAGACTTTGGTCCAGATAATTCAGTGGAAGTTTTGGGAGAAAGAAAAAGAGGTTGGGTCTCACAGGAGAGGAAATGTAGATCATTATGAGAATAATAGTTCTAGGGTGATAAATGTTTAATAACTGGCTTTCTTCCTCCACCCCCAAGAAACAAAAAGAACAAGCTCTGAGTTGTAGAGTTTGCTGATTTCTGTGGTATAAATGCTACCATGACCAAGTCGCTGAAAGCAGAATTGGGAGAGATGTGCTTTTGTGAGCTGGTGTGAGCTGGTGTGAGCTGGCTCCAGCACACTACAGGATAATTATGACCAATAAAATTAGAAATATGGCAGATTTAGGCCTGACAGTCTCCTGGAAGATGGTGAAAACTCAAACTCGGGCCTCACAGATTTCAGGTGTACACTGGAAGAAAGATCCTTGGATTACATTGTCTGGGGAGTTCTTGTTTACCAGCAGTGAGTGGTGACAATAAATTGTGTTAGTGAACAGAATCTCAAGAGCTTTGTGGGCTAACGTGGAGAGTGGGTGGACATAGGGGGAGGAATATTGAACCATGAGTCCCAGGTCTGGGAGTGGGTTCTTCCTTCAGGTAGTGTTACACAGAGACACTGCAGTTTGGCCTCATGTGTTGAGAACTGCAGGCATTGCTAAAAAATGGGGCAAAGTGGATCTTATCTCCAGATCCAGACAAGTTATATTTGACCTTATGTGCCATGCTTAGGAGCTTGATTCTTATCCTAAAGGCCAGGGAGAGCTCTGGAAGGGTGGTAAGATCATATTGTGCATTCAGAGTAGTTAACAGGTAGGCATTTCTTTTAAGAGAGGATTTGGAGTTCAAACTTCTGCTTAATGCACTAGGCAAAGGAAGAGAAATG